TGTTCAGACATAAAGGTGTCCACATGTGCTCTTGGCACCAGGATACCTTAGGCCGCAGCTCGATGATCGACTTTGTTGTTGTTTCATCTGACCTGCGGCCGCATGTCTTGAACGCTCGGGTGACGAGAGGGGCAGAGCTGTCAGCTGACCACTACCTGGTGGCGAGTTGGCTCAGATGGTGAGGGAGGGTTCTGGTCAGACCAGGCAGTCCCAAACGTATTGCGAGGGTCTGCTGGGAACGTCTGGCAGAGTCTCCTGTCAGAAGGAGCTTCAATTCCCACCTCCGACAGAACTTCCAATATTTTCTGGGGGAGGTGGGGGACATTGTGTCTGAATGGACCCTGTTCTGTTCCTCCATTGTTGAGGCGGATGGCCTGAGCTGTGGTCGCAGGATCGTCGGTGCCTGTCGTGCTGGCAACCCCCGAACCCGCTGGTGGACACCGGCGGTTAGGGACGCTGCCAAGCTGAGGAAAGAGTCCTATCAGGTCTTTTTGGCCTGTGGGACTCCAGAGGCAGCTGACGAGTTCCGGTAGTCCAAGCGGAACGTGGCTCGGGTGGTCGCCAAGGCAAAAACCCAGGCATGGGAGGAGTTCGGTGAGACCATGGAGCAAGACTTCCGTACGGCTTCGAGGAGATTCTGGTCCACCATCCGGCGCCTCGGGGGGAAAGCAGTGCGCTACCAACACTTTCTATACTGGGGACGGTGTGCTGCTGACCTCTACTCAGGACGTTGTGGATCGGTGGGCAGAATACTTTGAAGGCCTCCTCAATCCCACTGACACGTCTTCCAGTGAGGAAGCAGAGTCTGGGGACTTTGGGTTGGCCTCTCAAATCTCTGGTGCTGAGGTCACTGAGGTGGGTTAAAAGCTCCTCTGTGGCAAGGCTCCAGGGGTGGATGAGATCTGCCCGGAGTTCCTTAAGGCTCTGGATGTTGTGGGGCTGTGTTGGCTGACGCGGCTCTGCAATATCGTGTAGGCATCGGGGGCAGTCCCACATGACTGGCAGACAAGAGTGGTGGCCCCCTTATTTAAAAAGGGGGACCGCAGGGTGTGTTCCAACTGCAGGGGGATCACACTCCTGAGCCTTCCTGGTAAGGTCTATTCAGGGGTTCTGGAGAGGAGGGTCCGTCGGATTGTTGAACCTCAGATTCAGGAGGAGCAATGTGGTTTTGGTCCTAGCCGTGGAACACTGGGCCAGCTCTATACCCTTAGGGGGATCCTGGAGGGTGCGTGGGAATTTGCCCAACCAGTCTACATGTGCTTTGTGGATTTGGAGAAGGCGTTTGACCGGGTCCCTTGGGGGGCCCTGTGGGGGGTACTCCGGGAGTATGGGGTACCAGGCCCTCTGATACGGGCTGTTAGGTCCCTGTTTGACAGGTGTCAGAGCTTGGTCCGCATTGCCGGCAGTAAGTCAGGCTCGTTCCCAGTGAGAGTTGGACTCCGCCAAGGCTGCCCTTTGTCACCGATTCTGTTCATAACCTTTATGGACAGGATTTGTAGGTGAAGCTAAGGTGTGGAGGGCATCCGTTTTGGTGGCCTGAGGATCAGTTCTCTGCTTTTTGCAGATGATGTGGTCCTGTTGGCTTCATCAGAACGTGATCTTCAGCTTTCGCTGGAGTGGTTCGCAGCCGAGTGTGAAGCAACTGGGATGAGAATCAGCTCCTCTAAATCTGAGAACATGGTCTTGATTCGGAAAAGAGTAGAATGTCAAGTTTATTTATGTAGCACATTTCCAACAATCAGAGATTGCACAAAGTGCTGTACACAGACAAGCAGTAAAAATAAAATGATAAAACACTGAGAAACATCCAGTAGACCCTAGGTAAAATAAATTAACAAAAAAATCAGTTTAAAGCAAGAGTAAAAAGGTAGGTTTTTAAAAGAGACTTAATCAATCAATCAATCAATCAAAGCTTTATTTATAAAGCGCCTTCCGCAACCCTGTCAGGAAGCCCAAGGCGCTGAACATGGTACAGTAGAAGTACAAATATAGTGAATAAATCAAAAATAAAAGCAATTCAGAAATAAAAGCAATTCAAATTACAAAATGCAAATAACAAAAAAAGGTGAAACATTCTAGTACAGGACAGATGGGTAAAACAAGGGATAGAGTGAACCAATGAAAACTGTGAAAGAAATTCTACGTAAAAGAGGGCCGAATCAAACATGTTCAGGAAACGCCAAGCGGAGAAGGTGTGTTTTTAGGCGACTCTTAAAGGCAGAAAGGCTGTTAGCAGACCTAATCTGTAGGGGAAGGCTGTTCCAGAGCTTGGGAGTGGCCACAGAAATAGCTCTGTCGCCTCTGGACTTCAGCCTAGACTGGGGAACAGATAGAGAGGATGATTGCAAGTTTCTTTTGGGGACATGAGTGTTTAAGAGTTCCTACAGATAAGGGGGGCCAAATTGTATAGTGCCTTAAAACAGATCAGTAGCATTTTAAATAGAATCCTGTAAGTGATCGGGAGCCAGTGAAGAGCTTTTAAAACCGGAGTTATGTGATC